GGTTTCGAACCCACTGGCTCAGGCAATCCACTCACCTCAGCCTCCCAAGGCGCGGGATTACAGGCTGAGTCACAGAGCCCGGCTGAAGATATTTTCCAAGTGTTCATTGGCAGATGAATGGATAGAGAAAATGTAGTAAACAGCAAAAGAAACCATCAAGAGAGTAAAGAGACAACCCACGACATGGGGGGAAAATATTTGCAAGATATCTTTGCAAAAATATCTGACAAAAGCCTAATATCCAGGATCTGCAAGGAACTTAAACAAATTGACAGGAAACAAACAACCTCATTAATAAGTGGGCAGAACGGGAATTCGAGACTAACCTGGGCAACTTGGTGAGACCTCGTCCCTACAATAAAATCACAAAAACTAGCCAGGCATGGTGGTGTGCGTCTGTAGTTCCAACTTGGAAGGCTGAGGTGGAAGAATCACTTAAGCCCAGCAGGTTGAAGCTGCAGTGGCCGTGAATGTGCCACTGCACTCCAGCCTAGGCAACAAGAAAGTCCAACTCAAAAAAAAGCATACAAAAGACATGAACAGACACTTCTCAAAGGAAGACTTCAGCAACCAACAAACATGAAAAAAATGCTCAACCTCACTAACCATTAGAGAAATTCAAATCACAACTACAGTGAGATACCATCTAACACTGGTAAGGATGGCTATCAATAAGTCAAAAAACAGGTGTTGGTGTGGCTGCAGAGAAAAGGGAATTTTTATACTGTTGGTGGGAATGTAAGCCAGTTCAACTTTTGTGGAAAGCAATGTGGTGATTTCTTAAAAAACTAAAAATTGAGCTTTCATACAATCCAGCAATCCCACTTCTGGGAATATACCCAGAGGAACATAAATCGCTCTACCAAAAAGACATCTGTGCACCTATGTTCATTGCAGCACTATTCACAAGAGCAAAAACATGGAAAGTTTGGATAAAGAAAATATGGTACAGCCGGGCTCGATGGCTCAGCCTGTAATCTCGCACATTTGGGAGGCTGAGGTGAGTGGATTGCCTGACCCGGCGGGTTCGAGACCCGCCTGGGCAGCAAGACCTCATCTCTACAATAAATTAAAAAAAAAATCAGCCAGGCATGGTAGCACATGCCTGTA